CCTCGATGCCTCTCTTGGTCACCAAGTAACCCAAGAACTTCCCCGATCTCACCCCGAAAGAGCACTTAGCAGGATTCAACCTCATCCCATACCTTCGCAACGTTAGGAATGTTTATCTAAAGTCTCGCACATGATCCAACTCCTCCTTGCTTTTCACCAACATATCGTCTACGTATACCTCCATGCTCCTCCCCAGTTGCTCCTTAAAAATCTTATCGACCAACCTTTGATATGTTGCACCCGCATTCTTTAGACCGAACGGCATGACCACGTAACAATAGGTTCCTCGATTTGTCACAAAACTCACCCGCTTCCTGTCTTCTCTCGCCAAGGGAATCTGATGATATCCTTGAGAGGCATCCATCAAGCTCAGCAATGCACACCCTGCCATTAAGTTGACCAGCTGGTCGATTCGGGGCAGCGGATAAAGATCTTTTGGGCACGCTTTGTTCAGATCACGAAAATCAATGCACATCCTCTATTTTTTCAATATTTTTCTAACTTTTTCTCTCAATATAAGCTAACCCTTGGTCTCGGTTTTACATGAGACTTGCGTGAAGTTTGCATGAGTAAACTCACGGCTACTACTTGATTTAAATAGAATAATTGATGGAGGTGAATGGTGATGACTTAGCCAAGTAACGCCACATGTTTTAACCTTGTTCATCCGTGGCTTTTACTATGCTTAGTCACGTCTTGAGGTGGCACTTAAAGGAGCTAGATGGCGTGAGAATTTGCTTAGTCATGGCATGATGTGCTAAGGTTGTGCCATGTACACTAAGCTACTAGGTGACATGGATGGCAAGTTGCAATAATTTACTTACTTAAAGCAAATCTTCACACAACTCTCTATGGTTTAAGACTTAGTTTACTTGTACATGATCTTATGATTATTAGTACCTAAGCTCACCATGGACGGTGGCTTAAGCACGGCACGCGTGCATGGCGCACAACAATGCTATGTGCGCGCGTGCACACGCACGATAACGCACGACGTGCGTGCGTGTAGCTTAGACTTGAATTTCCGAGTGATGAACTTGATTTCGAAATTTAATTCGAACTTATCATGAACTTATCTTCGAATAATTAATCGCGAGACATAATATCCGTTTATAAATAAATGGTTCAGACATTAATTAACGAAATGATCTTGGTTAATAAATAACCAAATAGACTTTTCGATGAAAAATCGAATTTATTGTCTGGAAGCTATAATGAACATTATGAAAATACATCGCATTTATTAATAATACACTGGGTTATTACAATCTACCCTCCTTAAAATATATTCTTCCTCGGAAATATAAAACTAGACATATATATACAGAATACAAGAAAAGCATATACTGTTGGGTTCTGTTAGAAACGTCATACAACACGCACAGTATTGAACTTTATCGAAATAAATCCTAACGCAGCAGAATCTATAGTTAGGATATGGACGTATACCTTTTAAAATTTTTGCCGACTCTAAGACGATGTAGAGTACTGTTGGTGAAGTTCGTCTGAACACCACAATCTAATGGGCATATAGGTCTGGCCTTTAGTCGATTCTAATCGACACGTCAAACGTATCACGAACGGACGGTGTGCGGGTCTCGGTCGTCGGGTGCAGCGGGCAGCACGTGCGCGTCGGGCGCGGACAGCGTGCGTGTTGATCGGGCGCGTCGGGCGCT